TCTTTTCTTTTCTTTTTCGATAATAATTTACGAGTTGTGCATAAATTTTGTTTGTCCAATGAATATTAATCTTTTTACGTTTAGCTAATATCGTAAACTATTTTTTTTTTGTTCTTCTCGTAAAATATTGTATAATGCATCTAATTACAAAAAGTTATTACAAAATTTAATCTTTGACAATATTCTAAATAAAAGAATATATATATATATATTGTATGGATAATATATATAGAATATTAATTAATGGTTGCGTCCACAACTTTTAAATTTGAAAAAAAAAAAAATAAAATAAATAAATAAATGAAAGAATAGAATAAGAAATATTTAGTCGGACAAAAATTTACTGTTATATAGTAATTTGAATTCTTACTTTTAACATATCGCTATATGTATACGATGAATATACGTATACATTATATATCATTCTTTTTTGATAGTTGTACAAATGAAAAATAGTATGTAAATATTCTGATATATAATCTACTTACCACACGAAAAACAAATTAAAGAAAAGATAGTACCTGTGCAATACAAAATTATATTAACTGTATGCATATATATAACTACGTATTAGATAATATAAAATAATATATATATATGTACAGTTATTTTTCAAATAATTATAAATGTATTTCGAGATATGTTAAATAAATATATAATAAACATAATGAATATAAGTATGTACCAATGTGCAGATATATATACATTAAAAAAGAAAAACTGATTACTAATGAAAAATTGCAAAAATTGAACTTTGAAATTTGAGAAAGGTCCTTGAATTATATTTCGTATTTGTAATTCAATGTATGTGACAATCGTATATAGATAAGTAACGTGAAATGTTATATCGTAAGACCTATTACGTTACATTCAATCCTTGAGTCATCTATAAATAATAATACATAATTACATATAACAATACTTTTCAGTATAATCAATTAATGAATGGGCTACTTTAATAATAAAATTAAATATATCTAAATAGTAATAATAATAATAATAATAATAATAATAATAATAATAATAATAATAATAGTAGTAGTGTTTATAGGTAATATAGAAAATAATTGGATGCTTTTTATAAAATTAATATTTCATATAAATAATTTTTGTTATAACATTCGATAGAAAAATTGATTAAATAATAACGTCATTGACACTGACTTAAATCGGCCCTGAACTTATATTATGTTTTATTTGTGAGTCTCTTGATTCACGATTAAGTTTATGTTCATCTATATTATGATTCACAATGAATTCATTGCAGTTAAAGTATTATTGCATCATCCGAATGAAAAACATAACTATAATAAAAAGTTATTATACTATATAAAGCATTATTTTTAAATGGGTATATCGGGTGGTACGCTTTTGAATTATCTATTACTCATTTTAAATTAAATTTTAATTAATTAAATTTATTGTATATATATATATATATATATGTATATATGTATATATATTTACTTTTAATAATTGAATACTACGGAGAATAATAGAAAAGAAGTTCGCGCTTAAACTAAACTAATTATATTTTAAAAAAGGTGACACGTGTTATATTTAAGAAATAAAAAAAGACACTTAAATGCATATTAAATATTTCAAACGTCACGTGTAACGCGCGATAAAAATTAGCCAATGAGAGGGCTCCTGAGATAACACCAATGCTCAGATCCGAATTCGTGCGACCTTAGTCGAGTATAACCGAAGCTTCTCGATTCGCGGGGAACGTGCCTCAGTAACGCGCGAGACGGGTTCGGAGTAACACGTTTAAGTGACAAGTGAATAATAAGTGTAGTGAAAATAGTGAGATTGTGCCCCACCAAGTGTTTTGTAGTTCTACAAATATTTTCTCTATTTTTTTTTTATTTTTTTTTGTTTGTTAATTAATTAAATTTATCATCTACATAATTATGGCTGATTCTTTAAACTACTACGATGGTTTCCGGACTTTTTCATGGTTCGCAGATTTCATCGGCTTGCCGATTGATCAGGTTAGAAAAATAATAACGATATATATACAGTATATATATATATATATTTTTTTTTGTTCTCATTTCTTTTTCTCTTTCGATTAATCTATTTCTTTTGTTTTCCTTTCTTTTTTTTCTTTTTTTTTCCGCGTCATTTTAACGACGCACGAGCGTCTATTAAATCTTCTTCTATCGCCTGTTGACTGTACATGGACCTTGCGAAGCTGCATCGATCGTTCCTTCTTTCTCTTT